CATATTTAGTTTAACTAGTTTTCTTTGATTATATTAGTTACTCGGGTTGATTTTCCCTACCTTCCTTCTTAAGGTTTTTACAGTATTTATTATGTTCAGTTTGAATTCCGATAAAGCAGTCATGAATATTGAGGCGCATACAAGCATAATCCGACTGCTTGGTCTCTACCAGTAACGTCATTGGATATGGAATTATCGAGATCATATTTTTAACAATTTTCACATTGGTATCATCAATTATCGAAACAGACCACCTAATTATTGGAAATAAGGAAACAAAAGTTTCTTGTTAAATTCAAATTGTTTTGCCTGCATATTTCTTGATCTAGGCTAACTGTTATGTGGTACATGCCATTTCAAAACCTTTACTATAACTACTTATGTATAAAAGATAAAAAAGGAAGGGACATTTTATAGACTAATAAAAATTTGACCGTGTTTATATCCAGTCAAATTGAATTAATTATAGACTTCACCTTTTTCATCCACAATAAAATGGTGGTAATCGAATTGAAAGTTGATAAATTTATACCTTTTTATACTTAAGGTGGTTAGATTGTCTTAAATAGCATTGACTGTCAGAATAATCTTAATTCAATGAGGGTAGATGATAACTATGTTTTGATGTAAACAAGTTGTGACAAACCAGTGACCTGTGATTGAAAGAAACTGAATATTTTTGGGATTTTATTGCGTTTATCATTTATTGCAAAAGAAACCACAACATATTGCATATCAGTCTTCTCTTGTGGCACGTTTTATCGGAACAATAAGTGATGAAATACGACAATTTGTTTGTTGATCATTCTTTAGTACGTAATTTACAGTTGTATTTCTGTCATTTTGTATATTTTATTCATACAAAAACCAAAAGTGGGTAGGGTATACGAGTTACATCCAGGAAAAAAAGAGGCGAACGCTTATAGAAACATCTGAAAAGTGCTACCATAATTTACTCTCTTGGTACTTTTTCTTATGGCAGATGTGCTAGTTTTTTCGTAAACATGTGTTTGGAGATAAACATCTACATACATAATTAGGATAGACACGATCAACATAAGACAGATCATTAGTACATAGCGGTCGAGGTTACCATACTTCATATCAGCACATCAAGTGAGAATGCACTAAGATGAATGATAAATAAGAGAGCAATAAAGAATGAGATAATGCTTAAATTCAGTTTCACGATTAAGATGACGATAACGTGTGGGATGCATCTCAGGCCTGTCATCTACAGTTTCCACCTGCAGGTTTCTCCTGTCACATGAATCCCAACCAGTAAGTCTGGATTTCCATACATGCTTCAGACCAACGATTAAAGATTTGATAACTTGATGCCATGATTCAGTCTAGCCATCTCTAACCCTATTCTAGCTTGAATTTACTTCAGCTAATATTATTCGACGAGGCAGCTGGTGACTAGGTATGCGTAACACGTCCCAGCCACCTGAGTCGAAGGAAATTCACAACCTCTTCTTCCTAAAACTCTGTATCTTACCCCCTTCGTTACTGATGTAGTGACACTATGACACACGGCCTATGTTAAGAAGGCAGTGGGGTTGAACACCAGGAGTCTTCTCAAATCTTCTATCTTTAACGTCCATGTTTCACAGCCATGGAGTAAGACAGACCGTACTGCAGCATAGTACACTCAACTCTTGATAGGGAGTCGGATATCATGAGGCTACCAAAGATGGAGTAAGTTAACGAAAGTTAATCCTTTTGTATAAGCGTATAGGTTTCGTCAGTCACTTAGCCACCAGTACTGAGTCGACTCCTCAAGTAGGTGACGTACTCAACACAATCAGCCATTTATCAGATATGGGTCAATGAAGGCCGGTCCTAAACCAACACTTCGCATTTAAAGGGAAGAAACACCTCCCAAATATTCTGGAATTGCCACTCAATGTATCCAGAAGACTCTTCATCTTGTAATGGTATTTACCTGACAGGAGTATGTCATTTGCGTATTATTCCTTTAATAAGGATTCTCCTGTGTAACATGAAATCCTTTGAAGTCAGACGATGACTGTGAGAAATGTATAAGAAACGTCCTTGATACAGTTAAATAAGAATTGAGAGAGTGGACATCCCTGACAGACACACCTCACCTTACAACTCACAATAGACTCTAAACTGCCCACGAGTGGTCGAATATAAAAACTTCGATAAGGTGACATACTTACCTCACACATCCTCTGGCGAGAGACACTACCATAAAACCCTCAGTCGACGGGGACAAATGCCACTTTCAAATCGAGAAATACAGCTAGTATCTGGCGTCACTAAGCGTCTCGGTGCTCCAGAAACCGATGGGGTGTGGATATCTGGTTTGTAAACTCATGACCAGGTGTGACATCTGCCTGATTTTCTCGAGTTCACTGTTCCCGAGCTCCACTCAGAAGTCTGATAGCTAGAAAAACTAGCATCTCAGACACTATGTTCATCAGACTGATTCGCCTGTGGTTTTCGCAAGGGGACTTCTCCTATGTCTTGAAGACTGAGACAATCAGTGTTTGAGACCAGTCAGAGGAGAACATATCTCACTCGTATGGAGTAGCTGACACTGACCAATAATCCACAATCACCACCCCTAAATATCTGCGAAGCCATTCCGTCTGGTCTTGACAATTCTCCTCGTTCTAAATTACTGACAGCTTTTTGGACTTCTGCAAGTGTTGGATTGAAGTCGAGTCTTTACCAAGAGCTAAGGAACTCGAAGAAATCAAAGATGAGGTAGGGACACCGTTTGAGATACGTGAGAAATGGTTGGGAGGTAAAGATGTAGACAGTTGATAATGATATGAGGGAAATTGAGTGTTGTGAGCGCGGTTGACACTTTGCAGTTGCCCACATCGTCGAAGACTGGTTCTTGTTGAGGTAACTGGAAAAGAATGGTTAGTTTGTGATCGCAGAGCACAAAGGACACTTGTTTGAAGTTGGTAACATACAGGTTTTTTGGAAGTTTGAAGTGTTGTTTATCGTCCTCTCAAAAAGGTGTATAAATTCATGCTGTGGTCATAGATGGTACACCACAGGATAGGGTGTGTACTGTTTTTAAGGTTGAGATTTTGTAAACCCCCTTTCCATAGGGGAAAGGTATCTTCAGCATATTACTGCTATCAAACCTCTGTCTGGCAGCAGTACAACTTTAACCTTAAATCCTCATCATAGCGTAGTAATTTATACTACGTCTGTAATTGCATTTTGTCTGATCACTGTCTAACTGGCATCTCTGTTCTGGTATTATGTTGATGGAACGAGCTTTCGATCAGCATTGCTTGTTGGATCATTGAGATATGCTCGTTCGACTCTCACGTCATACATTCGTTGTACGTTTATCTTGTGATTGCGTATGAGTAAATCGTGATTGCTTATTCAGCATTGTCTTAGCGCACGACTTGTACCTTAAACGGTAGGTTATGATCTCAATAGCGAAACCAGTGATTACAGGGATCAAAATACATTCAACCTTCGAGTTCGGAATGGAATGAAATGCACTTTCTGGGTTTAGCTACTGGCCATCCTCAAATATGCTAGCATGACTGAATCATAGTTAGTATCTAGATATATAAATAATCGTTTCTTCTTTAATCAGAAAACTAGGATTCAACTGTTGGTTTGCGGGTGGTTTATTGATTTTAAAGTAATTTTCATCACAAATTGTTGTCAGCTTGTGAACCACTGAAAACCTGGGAGCAGTGGACTATTTTGTGACTTGTTAGCAGTGCTCACCTAGAGCTGCTCAATGTACTGTAGCGAGACGTTCCACAGGTTGGTATCTTTTTCGGGTTATCAGTTCTGTCTACGTTTCATTTATACCTTGCTGATAAATACCAATATGCTTCAAGACGACTGTCTATATCCACCTACAATCACCTAAAGTGCATGGTTGTGGTGAATTGTGTTGTTTGGCGACCACATTGCAAAATTATGAACATAGTTCGGAGAGCGCCTAAACCTAGACGCAATGTCGGTTACTATCATGTGATAAGTCAGTGTACTGAACCCGTTTTTTGTGTAACATATACAAGCATTTTTTCCAATGAAAGTTGTGCCACGAAGCCTCGATATTCGCTGTATTAGTATATTTATCTTCCTATCAAGTAGAGTAGTTGCGAGGAGTTTCTTAATTGTAAAACAGTGAGAAATTGGTTTTTGGTGCTAACATAATGACAGTAGGTTGAAAACACTTTAGTTCGAGTTTTGTGCGATCAACTTATTACTATCTATTGTTTTTCTAGGTCACTGACTTTCAAATCTGTTTAGTAAAATATAACTAATAGGATTTCAACGATTACTGCTGTTATAAGTTGTGGATAGTTTTACTTTTCTCATAAAGATGATTTGTATAAAATCAATTAATGTGCCTCTGTTAAATAATTTTCTGAATAAATTCATTCTACGTGAATTCCACTACGAAACTATTTAACTTTTGTATAAAAGACGGTGTAACTTGTTTGTTTGTTTCCCATCGCTTTTATAAACTTCAGGTTATATGTTTTGCAGCATCTCTAGATGTAATTTCCAAGTTATGTCGAAGATTGTGTTCATTTGATTTGCTGCTTTGATATACGTGATCGAAATTTGCTGAGCACTTACAAAACTATTTATTCATCTTAGACCTAGAATCTAGGCGATAAGTAATGTGTTTTATCATTTTTTTTTAATATGTTTATGTAAGCTTCTTCGCTTGTTGTGAAGTAGTCTGCTGCTCTACGAGAAACTTTCGAGAGGTGAATGTATTGCTAGCAGCTTTAACTGTTAACTGCATTACCTGTGGTACGCCTTGTGTGAGTGGATGATAGCTAGGTATTTAGTGTAGACGGCGTCGTACTTTTCATATTTAGTTATAGCAAGAAAATTATTGTCTTATTTACAAATGAATAATTGTGTAACAAAGCATCATTTGCTCGTTATTATCATTTATGTTTTTTTGTTTGGTAACACTTTTTCATATGCATTTTTATTTCTGTTTTCTTTTGACTTTCTGCAAGGCTGAAAATTTGTTATTAGATGCAGAATTAAATATAAAGATTGCAGATTTCGGTTTTTCAAATTACTTCTCAAACTCACAAAAATTGGATACATTTTGTGGCAGTCCACCGTACGCTGCACCGGAATTATTTTTAGGACGTAAATATGAAGGTCCAGAGGTTGATGTTTGGTCATTAGGTGTAATCTTGTACACTCTGGTCAGTGGTACCCTACCCTTCGATGGTAAAAATCTAAAGGTGAGTAATAAATATAATTTTTTTCCCCATTGATTCAATTTCTAACTTATTTCTCACGAACTTTTGTTACTTTGTTGAACTGATGGTGAATCATTAAATTGTTATGCAATTAATAAATTCTTTCACACTAAAGTTCATAATCGTACAGTATAATTGTTTATTTTTGAACGATCGTTTTTGCCTATCAGGATAAAATGTTTACTGTTGTCTTCATTAATGATATGCATCATAATGCTGATCAAACTGATATTTAGATATCATCGATTTTCATAATGATCTTTGAGAACCTAGCAGAGTGTTACCTATTCTCAATAGATTTAACAGGCAATCGTTATGTTTAGAACCCAATGTCTCAAACAGTTTTAAATTTCAAATCATTTGATAGCCTTTTGAAACGAATATAACTATTTCATTGTCATTTGACATAGATAAATAATCTATTAACTTCAATATGCATGGTGAAAAGAAAACTACTGACAAATAACACCTAGAAACTATCCCGTTTTATGTGGATTTCTACTTTTGTCGAAGATATAAGGAACTTTGAACCTGATTGCTTTTAAGAATTGGTGCTAGTAGTAAATTTAATCAAAGGCAAAGACAAACAGAGCTTTTAACTAGATGTTGCAGCTATTTACCGTCTAAGGTTCACTTGATTATGATCTCACTAGTAATCAATCAAAAATTGCAGTTTGGAAATTAGCTCAGACATTTTGTGACACGAAAATTTACATATTTCATCCTTATTCCTGCATATTTGAGATTTAATAAGTTTGTGATTCATTATTCAAGACACTGAGTCGTCAACCAGTAAGTCACAAGTCCTAAACTCACTACATCTGTCGAGGTTTGGGAACTTCAGTATTGTCAGTAACCTTAAAACAGTAGTATGGCACTGTACTTAGTACATAAGCCTATGGAGAGTTGCCAAATCACATTATCTACTTTTTTTCGATATATATATTCAACCACTTCCTTACAATGGAGATTTGTTTTTCTCTACCATCATGTAAAATACGCTTCCGGTATTTATTAGTTGCCTGTTAGATGTATAACACTATGAAATTCTCCGAAAGATCGCAGCTTGAAACGAAACCAATCGAAGTCACAAATTTCGGTATTTGTTAAGCAACACTTCGGAAGGATTTCAGTTAGCTTTGGATGTGATAAGACAATTTTTTGGTAAAATAGCACAGTTTATCCACAGATATGTTCAAAACTGAAGTGTTTCGTGTTGTACTTTTTCCAGTGTATCAAGAATGACTTACAAATCATATTTTGTGCGAATACATGAACACACTTTTGTCTAAACTAAACTGATTAGTGTAATGACCTATTTTGATTTGGTTCCTTCATCCTTAGCTTTGATTTGTAACAGTAAATTCACAGGGTTTTTTTTCACTTTCATACTTGTGAGTTGCATTTTTCAATATTATTGTGGTCGTCTATGCATATTTATTCTCAGCATATATATGCATGAAATGATCCTTTCAACTTAGTGTATATGTTTATGTATTTGTAATCGATATTGATTCACAAGGCCTCTGTTGAGGTTAGTCACTTTTATATGAACTATATTCATACATCAGGTTTTATATTTGAATGAATCAAGCAATGATCTGCATTTATTTACTCATTTTAGACTGTTTCAAAGCATAAATTATGCAATATTATGCTAAACTGTGCATTCGTCGGTTATATATATATATATATATATATATATATATATCTGAATGTGAGAGTAGCTTATATTATGCATCTCTGAAACCTTTTTAGGTTTTAGTGTGAGAAAAGTATTCTACATTTGCATGTCAATGATAGTTAATGAGTACTAGTTGTTTTGTTCTCCACGTCTCGGTATCCTACCTGTTTGTTTTTCTAACTAGTATATGAATACTCCATGGAATTTGGAAATATCTATTTCTCATCTGAGATCACATTTACATGCAAGCTTATGAATATATAATGAAATGAATTTCACAGTAGTAGTTAGATAATAGGACTGTTGTCTCAATAAGTTGCTACCGTTTCTTAAAAATGCTCTGAAAATATTGTCGTATGTGCTTGAAATTCAGTTCGTCTTATATGTAGTAAGTGGTACTTACTGATTACTAATTTCTGGTTAACCAGTTTCAAAATATTTCTGACCGATATAGTTAACAATGTCGTACGATATACTTCCCAAATGTTATCTTACGAATGACTATCCCAAAGCAGAAATCTATAGTTCGAAAGGTCCTTGTCATCAACTTCAAAATGAAATAGAGCAAGAATGTTATATTTCCGTGCCAATTTCTACCTTCCACAGTCATTAATCTTACGTACACAATTTCATCAATCCGTAGGCAAAAATAAATCCTCAATAGCCCAGAGTCTATGTATCCGTTTTGTTCTTATATATTAAATTGATGATGCAAACTGCACTTGACCGCTTTAATGTTATTATACAAAGATTCAGTCAGTATTTACCGGGTTATACGAACGAATATGATTCTCATTCGATCAGTTAGTTGTTTCTACTAATATTCGTGCAGTTTTGAGTTTTAAAGAATAGAAAAGTAAGCCATTCATGTCGTGATTCAGCCCCTATCGAACCGTACCATGTGCACGAACAGCAAAAAGTCTAAACATTCAGTTCTTAGGTCTGATCTAGGTCTATCGATGAAGTTTACAATGTTACCACTAAGCCAAGTGTTGTATGGCTTTTTATGTATGTTATTTAAACTTTTGAAAATCAAATTACTTTCATATACATGAGTAGAAAAAATAAACGGAATAGCCATGCGGTTTGTCTTCAGCGTATCTATATTTTACGCCTGTTCACTACACCGATTTCCAATAGATGGAATCAGAGTGAATAAGAATCTTTCATTAAGAAGATGAAAAATTCTTCATTCTCCTGCTTCCTAGAGATTTTTCTTCTTGGAATTACTTTTTTTTCGTGCCCATCGCTGTGTTGCAATGTTGACGTAACCTACGTAGTATTGTGGTGTTTTTTTTTCATTTGAATGAAATTTTTAATTGACTTGTTTTTTCTGCAACAAAAATGTTTTCTATCTCCATACACTTTGTTTATGAGTTGAGCGTAAAACGTCTGCTTTCTACACACCAGAGAAGTGTTTAACACTGCACACAAACATATGGATTTTTGTAGAAAAGAGATATCTTTGCAAGAAAAAATAGTTGCAATAGGCAAATATGCTTTCGTTTAGTTTTGTTTCATTTTCAGTAGTCGTGTACACCTTTTGAACCTCTTTTATTAGATATTATGTGGTCGCTTCATTCTAATCTATGTATTCATTTACCATCAAGGGAAAGCAATAAAAATACTGACGGAAGATGCTTTCTAATGTTTAAAAATGGTGATGAAGGTATTTTAAGATACATCCCTAAATTTTATATCACATACTTTTCCTTACGGAAGTACGACTTGCCATATTTCTTTTCTAGATGTTAGTTGGTTGGAGGCAATCGGCAGGAAGCCCTGCACCTAGGTTTCATGCTTTTTAGCACTCGTCAGCAAGGCGTATCTACAACCTCGACGGAACTGATGTTCCGCCTGAGATTCGAACCCGCGTCACCCAGTGTTGTAGTCAGTGACTTTACCACTGAGCTATTCGGGCCGCCATTGACCTCCTGTAGGACTGGCTTACATGTATTGATTGGCTACGGGAGTGCAACCAAATTCATGTTGTCTAGTCCTGAGTGCAGACCGGATTCTATCGATCATATATTTGCAGTGTGCAGTGAGCCTCCTAGCTTGGTTGCCACATTGCAAGTATGATCGATAGAATCCGGTCTGCACTCAGGACTAGACAACATGAAATTGGTTGCACTCCTGTGACCAATCCATACATGTTTATTTTCTGTTTACTATATGCAGGGCACAGTTTCACCTAATGGATGGTGTTCTGTACATTGCTTACTATCATACTAAGGTAGTCATGCAATTTCGGGTCCTTGCTTTTTCATATGCCTAACTTTAACCGTAACTATGAAAGCCATATGATATGCTTATAGACAAGAATCTGCATCTAAAACGTCATCTAGCGATTGTTTTATCACTCTTGGCTGTATTAGATAAAGAAGACTAGCATAGAAGAATTTTGTTCTCTCACAGTTCACTTCTTTTCCTCTCAAACCGTGATATTTACTGTACTGTAACTTCTGTTGTTATCGAGAATGATAGTTGAAGGATGACTTTCATCCGTATATTCTTCGTCCAAGTAATGAACATATCACACTAAATTTTGCGGTGGAAACATATTTGTAGACCTAAGACTTTTTTACTTTTCCACTGTCGTTGTTGATACTATTTTATGAAATATTGCTATTTGGAAAGGGTATTTTAAATTTGTTTTGAAATCAGTGAGTGTTACGGAGTCGGTACGGTCATCATATGATAAAAATTTGCATTAGCCAGTTCCAAATAGACAAACTAAAAAAGAGGCCTACGAAGTTAACAGAAAAGCATTTTCATTGAAATGCAACACATAGGATTCTTTTCTTATGTCTAAGTTTCAAGGTATATCAATCTTTAAAATGAAATTAAGTAGGCGATCGTTAGTTTAAATACCTTATAGGAAAGCAAAGCTGTAACAAATAGGAATATATTCACTCCATTGACTGGGTAAAATCGTATGGATTTTCATCAGGAATTACACGGACACTAAGTTGATAAAGTGGTCATCTAACCCTCCTATTTTCAGCCATCTAGTTAATTCTATCGTTGCCATATAATGCAGGAAGGAAAAAGTAGTCTTTCATTTTACAATTTTCTGTAAGGCAGCAGTCTGATCATTTCTTCATTGGGCTCAAAAGATAGAATATTTAAGCTGGATGAACATTTTGTAAGTTATTTACAAACTGCATTGTCTGTGTCAACATTTTCCTTACAGCCCAGTGGGTTTTCAGCAAACAAGCTCCGGTGTGAAGGGCTATTCTGTTGAAAAAAATTCAGTATTGATTGATTTGGTCGGCTGACTGGAGTTGTTTCACGAGTGAGAAATAACAAAATATTGGTATGGGAAAATTATTCTAACTAACTTCTATTTCTTTCTCAAGTTTCAACTATTTTAATCTATTTGAAAAGTTTAATCAGTTCCAGTCGATTAGTTTTTAATTGGTCAATCATGTATGACTACCTCAGAAGATTCGGTGATACTTTTAGTCCATATTTTATTGGAAACTACGATTTGCAGTCATGAGAACAGAAAAAGCGGTCTACCACCTAACTTATCTTCAGTTTAGTTAGCCTAGTCCAGTACTCGAATACTGAATACATTTAGATGTCAAACCTAGTTTAAAATTATATATATATATATATATATATATATATATATATATATATATATATATATATATAAACTGATACTTTGTTTCGTTGTAACATTCATATGGTGCTAGTTTTTTTAAAAAAACTTTTGTCTGTTACCATGGTTTTGTATTTTCTCTACACTATGAATTTCGAAGCTCATTTACTATTTCTATTTTCCTTGTGATTCCACTAATTCTGTTATATGAATGTCTTTAAATAGAAGTTAAAGCTGAGGATTTATTGACCGAAAACATTCTTCGTAATATGTTGCTTTCTTAACCGAATTAGACAGGCTGACATCACTTGAGTTTCTTTTTTGGCATTTGAAGATGAATTTATCTCTATCTTGTGAATAGCAAGGTGAATATAAATCTGTTGATCCCTACATCAGCACTTAAGATTCTTCACTTTCCTTTATGTTCGTTATCATGTGTTATTCTGCTTAACTTTACATAGTATCTGAGAATTGGTTAGCGTCCAACATAAGGTGTCGGCTGATACAGGAGTTAGTTGGAAGAAGCATCAACGACCACCAAACCAAAACTATAGTTTTTCACATTTGACTCTTATGTTAATTGCTCTCCCGTGACGCAGTTCTAAAGGAGCTTAATCGTGGCCCAAATAGCTCAGTGGTTATGTGCCTGACTACAACGCTGATCGACGCGGATTCGAATCTCAGGCGGGACACCAACCCCGTCGAGGTTGCAGATACTCCTTGCTGAGGTCTACAAATATGCACTAAACCCAGGTCCGAGGTTTCCTGCCGATTACCTTTAACCAACTAATATGTTTGACTCTTCAGGGAGTTGTAGAATCCACTAAAAAGTTGAAAGTTTCGGCCGTAAAATCCTTTAATACATAAAATTCTAGTGATACACCACAGTGAAACTTTATTGTCTTTAACCCGCTTGTCCTGCGATATCAACACAACTGAAAACTTTAGAATTTCCAAATTCGATTTTTTGCATGGCTGCCTGATATTGGTAGGAAAAAGAATTATAGTTAGATGATGATGCATTTTATCATCAATTCTCTTGTACCTTGTTTTTGTGTCAAGAGTAAATTGAACATATGAACGACAGATTAGTATTTGAATGAATCTATAAATTATTATGAAACCATAATACGGATTTTATTGAAAAATTTCGTTGAATCCCTTTTTTGTCTAAATGTTTAAACATAGTTTTTTAGCTGACTGACTGGCATTCGTCAGTATTCCTTCCTTACTTTCAAACAGTAAGCATTACTATTTCATTCTACCGGTAATTCAAAGTAGTGTGATAAGTAATAGAAGCAATACGATGTGCCTTTAATTTAGGCGTTATTAGTTTGTCTCTTATTTATCTTCTCAGGCATATCTAACATTTTGAACAAGTGGTGCAGTAGACTGTGAGCTAGCGATACTAATTGACTGTCGAAACTTCGGTAGGTAGAGCGGGGTTCGAATTCGCGACCCATCGGTTTAAAATCTTCTCGCCAAACCAGTGAGTGGGGATTTCCGCTGGTCATTTCTTGCCTGGGACAGGATATATTCCATGCCTACTTTTCACTAACATATATACTGGTTACATGAATATTTTATGCATCCAGTTATGTAAATATTAGCTACTTTCCACTCTGTGCATTTAGTGAAATTATTTTCTCCTTATTAAATACCAAAAAAATCAACCTACTATCGACACATAAATATTTAGAATATTGGATAACAGAATTCAAATGAGTAGTGTACTTCGATCAGATATGTAATAAATGCACCGATATACCTTGAAAATAAAAAAAAGGAGATATTGGATATACCACTAGCGGTGATAGTGTTTATGTATGAGTGTATGTTTAAGGTACTGTAACCTTTATTCAATGACGAGGTGATAACATTTCTTTCAAAATTATCGGGGAAGGATAGTGGAATGGAGGTCATTTCTAAATGTTATTTCATGTATTTCACATGTTTTCTTGCACAACAGTGAAAGATGATAAATGGTATTTTATGTTGATGTCAATGATAATGATAGAATTTTGTTAAAGGTCATGCTAATCACCGCATATTGATTTATTCCGAAGTGGACACAGAGATTGGAATCTTTCCGTCTAGCTTCTGCTTGTATACGGGTATTTGTTTATAATATTACAGTGGACTTTTTAAAATGTGCTGTTATGTTTATATTAGGTAGCGCCAAGCATTTCATACGAAATATTTACAATTTGTCGATTGGGACTTGGTGCATTATTATTCATTGTCACTAACTTAACGACAAAATTACCTGCAGAAATTGATCCGGTTAGATTAAATGGGTGTGACTAACTGTAGCCGAAAACAATAAGTCCGGTTTTAGGTTGGGTAGTATTTATTGATCCCCCTGTGCTATATTTTGGAATAGTTTAAATCGTTCCATTAATTCTGACAGTTCGAAACTTATCACCCTAACAGGTGCACCTGAAGTCAGTTGAAATCAAAAGTCGATTTTGATTTCACTTGATATTTGTTCGACCGAGTATAGTTCTTTATTAATACAACTAAATATTCACATTTCATTATATTTAACTACAACTGCTATCCAGTGTAAAGTGATGCTGATGACCACAAGAGAATCTAATATTTTGTGTATCAAACAATCACATCAATCAATGACATCGTATGAAGTTTACAGTGAACCACTGAAAAAGAATTGGTAAATGAATATGATGAAGGAAATTAGTGATCCATGTATAGTATCCTAAGATAGTTGTTGTGCCCTATACCATCCAATTTTAATACCAAAGTGGACAAAGTAGATTCATTTTACCTTGAAAAATGAAGTTGGTTACGTCGATTAAAACGCCTTCTGATAGTATCACTTATTTCTACAGCATATTTTATTCCAATTACTGAATTCTGTAAGTGATACTGAGGCGGGTAAGGAACTTCGAAGTATATAGCCATATCATGTAGATAGGTAAACGTTAGTTTTTTTCATCGTTTAGCAATAGATGGTTGTGAGATTTCCATACCATTATTTTTCAAATTAATTTATTAACTATTTAAACTCAGTCCGCAATTGCTTTGTGTACTAAGCTGTGTAAACCACATTTGTTGTTTGACAACGTATAACGTTGACCGTTTGCCAAGGTTAAAGTAGGCGGAGTGAAGTTCAGACTCAGAACTTATTGCTGAAAATTTGAGCAGCTAAATCACTAAGTTAAATCTCCATGTTGTGTATAGTTGAAGTGAAATCAACAGAATTGTCTGAGTAATTTTGTCGTGCTTTATTATAAATACAAACTAATAATATTTTATTTTTTTCCTCTTCTCTTACTCTTTTCCAATTCAACGAACAGGAATTACGCGAACGTGTGTTACGCGGTACCTATCGAGTGCCTTATTATATGACACATGAATGTGAGATGTTATTGAAAAAAATGTTAGTTCTTAATCCTGCCAAGCGTATTACACTACAGGTAAACTATTGTCCATGTGCTCAGTATCTTTTTTATGAAGTTATTTATAGTTTTCGTATATGTTCAACTAATTTTCATAAATTAACATAAATGTGATCGCATAAACAATTGAGTGACGACCTTGTGAACTTTGATGCTAAGTTGCAAAATATTTGTGCAATACAAAACCTCCTGGTATATCTTAAATATACATTTTCTTATACTGTGTGGTTGAACGAACTTTCTTCCATGAATGGTTGAATATCTATCAACTAGTTATTTCGCTGTATATGGTGTGCAGCATATCGTTGTGATTAGCATGCAGCAAAGATCACTGCAATTATGATTGACCATGGAAAATGATTGACAAAGGTTTAGCCATCTCCTGTTCAAATAAAAATATATGTCTACTAAGGCCTTTCAGCAGTTGGTAATATAGTTATATGAGGGTGAAGACTGTTGGAATATCACCTTTGGTTTTGGGCAAAAGTTGTTTCCTATGCTATTCGTTTTCCCTTTTAATCTTTATTACCAGTTATTTTTTGATTCCACACTGATTTTCACAGGAAGTTAATCATTAAATATTTGGTTTTGCCGTCAATAAAATGGTTAGTGCTAGAATGGTGGTATTTCATGTAATGCAGATAAAGTATTTATTTTCGTGAACTCTTAAATAGTTGAATTGATTTGTTATTGTTGTTTTTAATCCAGGTTATGCATATCCTTGCAATTCGCCTAATGATTAGTTCTTTGCAGATTCATCAGTAATTTTCAATAAAGATATAACAAGAAAGAATTCAGTTGCCATTTTATGAATACAAGAAAAGGTAGAAGGAGATAGTCGCACTATATACTAAAATTACTTCAGAGAAATAATTAACAAACTCTGAATGTTAATTATATTATCTACAGACTAAAAATGCCTAGTGGGAAGGGATTTATTTTAGATATAAAGGTTGTCTCAAAGTTTTCGTTCGATTTTGATATCATTCCCTGCGTTCATTGTTTTTCAAGGAATACTCTTGGTTAATTTAGCCTTAAAAACTAATTTTTTTTAACCTTTTTTTTCTTAACAATTAATCACGTATTCATAGCTTTAAGATTGATGTAATTCTATTCATTTTTTTCTAAATTGATTTTATTTGTTCAGAGATTTTTTGAAGAGATTTCGATGAACTAATTTCTAGAAAATCTTTAAAGTAAATTTACGTAATACGTTTAAGAGAATGGTCTTTTAGACATTTCTGGAATAGCAACTTCCAGCTGTTAGTCGTAAACTTTCCCATGTGGTTGCTTAAGGCTTACGAAGTTGTATAAAGCAGTACGTCACGCAACAGAAAACAATTTTAACGTTTTGAGTGCTTTTCCTCCTTCCTAACGCGTTTTTACTTCCAAAATGTCTTCTCAGCATAGTTTTTCGCTGATTGATTAATAATAAGGGAACTGAAGACTTAGAATACTTGGGAATTCGTGGCGTATCAGTCACATTAACATGTTGAAGTGACATGGCAACAAAATGAAACGCTGAAAATAATTGTAACAATAGTCAATAAATCCGTCAAACAAAGGAATAATACCAGGATTTTTAGACTTTGAATTTATGTATTTCTTGAATGTTTATACCACTACGATGACGTTTGAGTCTTATTACAATTAGCCTTCAGTCGCTTTTCTCGCAATCAGAAAGCATGTACTTTCTCATCCGACGTAAACAGTCAAAACCTTCACAGACTGTTACCATGTTTTATTCTCGCAACCGCCGTCTCCTTTTAGACTAATTCTCAGTAGCATGTTGAGGTAGACATTCGGTCGACATCTAGAATGCCTATTGTAGCCACTTCAGTCGATATGGAAGTAGACTCCAAAATCAATTGGAAATAAATTGTTCCATTGTGGCATACGACAATCTAACTACTCAATCGCACCATGCATTTACAAAATTTAAGCTTCGATTAAACGTTGTCATATGAATCCGGTATTTTTCTATACTTAGACCATTATCTATATTTGTCTGACAGATAAACCACCAGAATCATAGAGTAGGGAATTTTAAGTACAGATAGATTATTGGAGAACAGATGAAATAGCAGTCAATGAATGTGTAGACTTGGTGTACAATATGTAATCCAATGAAGAAACAGTTTGTGAAGAAAAGAAATAAAATGGAAGCGGATATGAACTTTAGTCAAGAATTGGGTAGCATACCGCACTCATCTTGGAATGTGATATTTAAAGGTCATTTCTCTAGTTGCCTAGACTGATCTGTGCCTCAGGACACGTGTGTTCATTTATGAACAAATTTGGATTCGCTACAGAAAGCTTATGTAAACTATCCAGAGACTTTTCTGACATCATAATATACACATATATATGAGAGGAAGTAATTTTCCTCATTAATTAAAACAGTAGCATGAGAAAATGGAAAATCCTATAAGAGGATTGTTGTTGTTCTTAATTTCCATATTTTCAGGTACCACTATAAATGCACCAGAGTGATAGGAAAGTGTTGTAAAAATACACATCAATTGAGGAATGCTAGTGAGAGAAAAAAAGCATAAAACGTGTCCATTATTTATAAGTATGCTGGACAGTCAGCGACCATTGATTATTCATGTGTATGTGCACGTATGTTATATATGTATTAGAATTTTTTCTAAGTTTTTCTCTCACACTTTAATTCTCTTCCTTTGATCTAACAGGATGTTTTAATTATAATAAATAATGAGGTTGTATTCATTACGGACTGATATCGCTTGGAGAACCAACGAAAACCTGGGAGCACTGGAGATCTGTTTTGTCCTAGTATGAGACTCCTCACCAGTACGCACCCATGACCCCGCCAAGTATGGAACTCAGGACCTTCAGGTTTCATGGCGAACCCGCTAACCATTCAGCCACTGGGTGAGAGTTTAACGGTCCAGTTTCCTACTTCTGTCAATCCATGATGATTACAACCTTAAAAATAAAATCCTCATTAACCTCAAAATACATTGCTGTGTAGTACTCATTAGTGATATGCTTCCAGATGAATATCACGAAGTTCTAATGAAAAACCGTGATCTATAAAATCAGCCAGTTAGAAGTGGAGCGGATGCCATCTGAGGTCTTTGGATGGTAGTTACGCTATATTGCGAACTGACAGAAGTAGGAAACTGTGAACTATTAGAATCCGACCAACTGGCTGAATGGTTAGCGTACTCGCCGTGAAACCTGAAGGTTCTGAGTTCGTTCCCCAGCCGGGTCGTGGGTGCGTACTGGTGAGGAGACCCATACTAGAACAAAACGACTGTTCAGTGCTCCCATGTTCACAGTGGTTGTTCAACTGATGTCAATCCTTGATGAATACAGCCTTAAAAGTGAAATCCTCATAAACCTCAAACTAATTTGTGGTCAAACCATTACCTGACTTGTCTTTCTTTTTTTGGTAGTCATTTCATTAAAAGTATTCTGAAGATCTTCTAGCATTTGCTTTTCTTTTCCCCCAGAAATAAAAAAACGTTATTCTAATTGCTGTAGATTGTTTACACGTTGAATGTTGTTTTAGGTATGTATATTAAGGTAACTACTACATTAATATATGCCACTAAGTTATACTGAACACCCATGTATACATTTCATGAACCTGGTAAAAGCCGAAAACATAATTTTGGAACAGATGTAATAGAAATGTTCCAACTGGACTACTATTTTCCACAATGATATTGGTTTGCAGATTGTGTATTACTCACTATATGATGTTTGTTCCCAGAAACCTGTTTTATTTGGAGTGGCTACTCAGTCAGTGATAATAGGGTACACTGTTTATATAGACCCATGATGTCGGGTGCTTAATGTGTAGAAATATGAGAAAAGACGTGGATTTCTGGCAGAAAACATGTTCCTTCGTCGGAAAAACATCTCACCCTTCCGTTGGCATTGGTTCGATAGGTTATGCACTCTTTTTTGAATGAGAACCTCAGACGACCACATGGATTCTGATATAGAAACTCACCTTTGTGATCAGCATTATTGTTACGGTTAACATCTTCATTATTTTATGTATCAGTGAACCAATCATTGACAGTTATAGCACACTAAACAGTTGTTTCAGGCGATTTCGAATAATTCCAGCGATACTCATGTAAGATTTTATGAGTTCAAAAGTATCCTCTGATTTTATCGCAAGTATATCAAGGTAACACATCACTGGACGTGATTTATACTAACTGATGTTTTCTGTCTGAATCATTTACTTATGAAATCGTATAAATTATTTCCGTTACCATTATCGGTTAGTTCTTTGACGAAAATTTCTTTTTTGTGTACACTGTTAAAGTAAGTTAGGATTTAATGCAATAGTTGTCATCAGTTTTAATTGGCTGTTCTTCTGATGTCTACTTTCGATCAAAAATGATGTTCGTTATTGATAACTTCTGCTCTACCATACATATCATTATGTTTTCCTAAGAATTCAGTGTTGTGTCGCTTTCCTATCCTAACATAGCTATCGCTTTCCGTTTCAGGAAGTAATGAGTGATCCTTGGATAAATCAAGGCTATGAGCACAGTGTATTAAAACCTCATACTGAAGAACCTGCCGATTATTGTGATCCTGAACGTATTGGTAAGTGCTAACAGACTCGCATTTGTTTACTTATTTAACAATCAATTTAATCTTCATTATTGTATCATGTCTAAACATATAGGATTCAAGTATTTGTAGTAGCTTATATCCATTAGTCGTTAGTGGATCATTGGTTTGAAACGTTACAGAAATGAAATAATTTCATATTACAGAAAGTATGCATTGAACCCTTCGTGCTTTTTATGTTGATCTACGCTTTAAGTGCCGTGTCATTGATTAGTGTCTAACGTTCAGTGATAACTATAGTATTATATGTTCGGTGATGAGAAATAAAAATCCTCTTATTGCTATGGAAAGCTATAAACTGCTATATATATATATATATATATATATATATATATATATATATATATATATATATATATATATATATATATATATATATAAAGAGAGAGTATAAATTCAATGTCATCGAATGATATTCGTTGCGAAATGGAATATTGATCACTATCTTGTGAAGCGCCTAAATTTATTGAAAGCGTTCATAAAAAATTACAAAATGTGAAAGAGATAGTCACTGCTTTCTTTTCTTCAAGAAAGTGAAGAGACGAACACGGAATACTTATAGAAACATTTGCATGAGTAATAGCCATTCTCATGTATAGGTGAAAGTTGCAGGCCGCTTTTAGTACATACATATAAGCATTGTATACAGCGTTTAGCTGTTAACCGTAGTTGTAGTTCCATTTTTTATAACAATGAGGTACTAGTATAGACAGGATTTGATCAAAGCTATTACTGCAGTTTAATCGTAAGACATGAAAGTTAATGATTTTTATGTCTTTATAGCGCAAAATTATTGCATCACGTTCGATAATTGATCAAAAAGGAAAGCCTTTTGCTAGTTTATTTTTATGATTTTGAGAAACAGATGTGAATGTACAGTTTGAAACGAATAAATTACAAATTCCTTAGATCTGTATTGTTATGATTGTGAAATATGTACGCATTTCTATGTAATTATTCTGATTGCAATAAAGGTGTGTGTTGAAACTGTATTCCACAATTTGAAAGTAGTTGCCAATGTGTAGAGCTTATTTTTCCTGTTGACTCCGTGACCTGGAGATATGACATACATCTGCTTATTATCACAAGAGCTTTTTTCATCCTTTATTTATTTTCAGGGATTCTTGTGTTTGCAGACACCTGAGTTTTATCACTCAATTCAGTTTTAAGTGATATCATTGGAGATAAAATATCTTTCTTGATATTTTGCTTTTCATATGGACAACATCTTAATAGTCACAATTATTTGCGGAAAACCTGTCAATTTCTGCTTTCCTTACCACATTTATTCCTCTGAAAGTTATAGTACTTTAATAACCTAATGAGATAATGTGCGAAATTTAAACTGAATTTCATTTTACTTTATATTTTATTGTACCTAGAATATATGAGGTATTTCAGGGTGTATATCAAAATTTGCTTGAGATATGTTTCGGTATTTCACTTATTCCGAACACATTTTCCAGTTTTATTACCACTTTAGTATCCTTAGCACCTTATAATCAATGCGATAATTTTTTTGAACTGGGAATTTCATCATAACAATCACTAATATGAGTACACTTGTATAAGATTGTTGCTATGGCTATCAGCAGGACTGTTCTCTCGATGGAACTTTCTACATTGATTTATTTAACTGTTTTTGAAAATAAGAAAAAGTATATAGTAACTTGTTTTCCCTTTTACTTTATATATTAAAATAAAAGAGGAGGTGAAAGTTTTAAAGTGATGAGATAAGAATTTAGATGAACACTTTCTACTGATATATGTTCGAAATCCATGCATTACTTTTCTCTGTTTATTTGTATTTTCAACAGTCGACGTTGCTGTTGTTGTTTAAGTACCATCATAACGTATCAGATAACATTACATGAGATTGTTTGAATTGATAAAATAGAATGATGACTTCAAAAACTACGCTTTTCATAAAAATCCAGTAAAATGGTGGACTACTTGTTAAGGTTTTAATATCAATATTTGTTGTCGTTGATATATTTTACTGTTAGACAAGATTAAATCTGTCACTGTGTTTCTTTATATAATTGTTAGAATGTTTATCTTTTATTTAACCTAATATGGTTTACCCACCGAGATATGCCAATTTTTGGCTTTCACTTGGAAAGTAAGATAAATATTATAATGTAGTCTGGTGCTGATTTACTTTGGTTTAAGGTTACCACTGACTAGCATTTCAATTGTACGCCAGTCCTCACCTAGTTCTATCAAGCAGTCTTTGAGAGGATGATTAATTTTCAGAATATTCTTTTTCAAGGAAATTTATGTTCCTATGATTTTGTTGTTGTCATTTAATCTTATATATAGTTAGTAGTTCTAAATGTTAGCCGACTTCCATCGATCAGCTTTGTAATATTTTTATTGAGTAGTGTTAACTGTCATTAGAGGGCATTGTATTTGATTTCGGTTGACTGAAGACAATCAAAAAAAGTATGTCAATCTATAATTCCTGCTTCTGAGTTCTCACAAATGATATACTTTCATAACATTCAGGAATCTATTATCTCCTCAAAAATTTGATCTCTTTTTGTTCAGAGTCAAGTATGTAAACATTATGTCTCCTAGTTTTTTCGGAAGGAAATTAATAAGTTGTAACTACCAATCTTTTCAGTAATTCTAGCGTGTGTTGAACCATTCATTTTCTATGGTGGATTACACTTCAACATGCTACTGTTGAACTTAATTTTCAATGAGCCGACAACAGTATTGTTCTGAGTTTACCTTTGCTTAGGAAGGTAAATCCTTCTCTTAATGTAAGTTTCTATTGACCATGAATAAGAAATACTGATTTGATCATCGTGTGGTTGAGTTTGTAGCTATTCTTTGGGACAGTTTAGTTTTTCTCTTTTTCAGAAAAACTGCTGATGCATACTTTGGAACGGATTTTTTTCGCTTACTACCTTCTTAACTCAAACTGGTTCGGCTGGTATTTGCAGTGAGCCTGACTTTCATCAAAAGTCGATCAATTAATCATTCTTTGTTGTTCAAGTTTATAATTTACCTATTTTATTGTTCTGTTGTACCAAACGATGCATCCGAGTCGATAAGTTTGCATTCACTCATCCCACCTACAGCTTTGTCAAGTTAATCAATCTCAATGGTGCACATTTATCCACACATTATCTTCATCTTAATCGCCACACTGAATTGCAGTGTTATCTGATTCCTCCTTTCTTTTGACGACTCTCAACCAATTTTGACTGCTTTCTCCACTATTTCTTTATCTTTCATATTAGTACACCCTCGCTTGATATGCTGATATGTGATTTGCAACTTGGATCATTACGCAGTAATACCAGGCCCTATGTTGCTATTGTCTTTCTGTTTGACTTTACAAGTTGGTTTTGTTCAATGATTACCGTACAACGTATTCAGAAAACACAAACAGTAAACCTAAGACTGTAATACTTGTTCTGTTTGATGATCAAAGATGTAGATGTCAGTCGCACCTTAGTGTGAAGGAAAAAATAATTTTGACACTTCTTTGGTCATTACATGAGGTTGTGGGCTTGCACTGATCGAACTGGTTAAGATGTGTTCTACATATGCTGAATTACGATCTTCCTGAGGTTTACTGTCAGATATAGTAGGATCACGTTTACAGTGATGAGACTAATCTATGCAGTCTGTGACGGTTGGTTTGAGCCGTATGAGAATGCTAAACCACCCGGTTTGTGGATCTCAAAATATCAGGAATCAATGGCTGGGGAATCTCTTTGACATGGATATAACTTAATTCAGTTTTCGTCTTCCTTGAATTTTCAGACATTTTCTCAATTCTCATACTTTTTTTTATTAAAAAATCATATTGTTTTGATTTAGTTTTTACCTCTTTCCTCTTCCTGTAGTGTCATGAAGTGTGGTGGTTGTAATTGTTGCACGAGATTCTATATAGGTTTGTCTCAGCTAATAACGTATACTATACTCTTTGTTACGTTTCTGTTCCATTTAAGTGTCGTTTTTTCTTGCCTATACAATGTCGCATTGTTATTTTGGGGGAATCAACAACCTTTAATTTAGTGAATCGAAACAACAAGAATAGCTTTTATCTTGTCATTTTACAACTTAATATACAAGAGTTTGCATCTAAAATCCGTATAATTGTCTCATTTTGGGGTTTCCACGATCGGATTCATTCATAACTACATTATCTAACTACGTATTTCAGTTTTTTCACTTTCAAAATATCAACCAACCTTTAGTAATTGATTTATTTTTAACTGACTATCCCTTATCAGATATAATGATGCGTATGGGTTTCAAACGAGAAGATATTCATGACTCTTTAACTCAACAACGATTCAATAACATCACTGCTACATATCTGTTATTAGCTCGTTATGATCCACGTGTACATGGTCGATTACGAGGTTTGCCTAGTACATCTACAACTAGTTTAAAATCAGACAATCAGTCAATTCGTTCACGTCAAACACCGGAAACACAATCTAGTACACCAAACACATCAAGGACACACTTTCACAATTCACCATCACATAACAGTTTCGGGTATGACATGCAGTACTACCACTGCTGTTTCTACGATAACTCAATATTCAGTGACCAACGGGATTACTAATCGTAATATGGATTCTGTTGTTTTAAATAATCGGCATACATCTGCGGGATGTCGATCCAGTAAAGATACAATCAGTACAACAACTACAGGAAGTTTATACACAGACTCTTACACAGCGACAAATTCTTCCGCGACTAACTCAAGCGCTACAAACACCAGTGGTGGAAACCGCAATGTTTCTAGCTCAGTACGCAGATCAGCCACTGTGTCCGGTCCAAATGATGCGAATCAAGCGGTAACTCCATTATCAGGTAAATTAATGATTATTACAAGTCAATCATAAGCATTGAAGTGCTTTCAAAATTGATATGATTGCATTCCTCATTTCTTTGGTGTTTATTCGTTCTTTAGGTGCACTGCTTAAGTCATCTGCACTTCCTGCACTGACTTCTACTTATTCTCCTTCTCCAATATCACGAAATACAACACCTCCTCCACCATCTCAAGCACCTCCGCCTGATGTTTCTCATCAGATTCCTGCAACTCAACCTTCAGTAATCACTCTTCACCCAGCTTCTGTTACTGCTCACCTGACACTTGCTAATATGTCTAATGGACCATCATGTTCGCTTCCATCTAATTCTAACTCAGTACCTCCACTTGTAACTTCTTTTACGCGTCATAATTCTCGTCCACGAGCGGCTACTCGATCATTTTCCATTCAACCACAAGCCGTTGCCCCATTGGCACTAGATGAAGAAGAGATCGCAAATTCAACAAAGTTTCGACGAAGTCGTAATCAAAAGTCTCCTTCAATTGAAAATAAAATAAGCAACTGCAATGGTTTGATGAAAGAACTATCGATTTCTTCTACTAGCTCGGAAGATGCCGCCTCTGATGAGAAAGATTTGTATGACAGAGATTCTGATTCTGAATCACCAGGTTCTCTAAAGGTATCTCGTTCTTCGCATAACTCGCACAGGAGTAAAAATTTCAATCAAACCAATAAGAATCAAACTGCTATATCAGTCATGTCCGGAGGAGGGGGTACAACAACAACACTACAAGTGTTACATTAGCAGCTGCTCCCAATACAAATTTTAATAACAAAAGTTATTTATTTTCTCAAAATGAAAAACGAACGTTTGGTAAGTTAATATCTTTTGAAGATTCAGTAGGAATTTGAATGTTTCATTTGAATTCTAGGAACTATACCTCATGGTGGTTACCCTTTATTACGTATAAGCTATAATATTTATAGTGGCTCTCAGTTTGGTAACTTAGGTTCAATATCTGTATAATTGTTAGGTTTTAAATTGCGCTTATGTGTAGATAAGCTGATTGGATAAAAATATGCTGTACTGGTGATGATCTCCAGACTAACTTGCACGTAATACCGATTGTTATTATTATTATTATTTGTCCCTTGGATTCCTAGTGGAACATAGGGCTTCAGTAGCACGCCTCCATTGCACTCTCTTCTCTGTAGTTTTTATCAACCCGGCTCCACGACTGCCCATAAGCTTTCATTTCTTCCTCACATGATCTCCTCCATGTCACCCTCGCCTCGGACGTCCTACTCGTCGTATCCCATTCAGGTTCAACTCGAGGGTCTGTTGCGTGGTCCCCGAACCGCCTTTCACTGTATATCCGAAACAATCCATCTCCACTTTCTTCTGCATATTTATTGGGCGATAGATTCTTGGTTGCTTCGTTGTTCGGCCAGAGTTCCTTGTTGCTTATTCTTATTATTCTGACCATCTCATCTGATCTTCAGTATCGAGTGAGCGTAGGCGGCAGCTGTTGATGATGTGTGTCTGTGGTTTGCTGGAAATGCATTTCGTGACACGCCAAGTCTCTCAACCATCACATAGAAGCACTGACTAACCTGACTGAATTCGTGTTGAAAATCCAGATTTTTTTCTTCATGCTGAGTTGAGTGGAGTAGATCTGGACACTGATTTCAGACTAATGGAGGTGTGTTTTGCTGTCTTCCCGATCCTGGCGTTGACCTCTTCATGTGTGCCACCACCTGTAGTTGAAACGATGCTGTCTAGGTAGGTGAAACAGACTACTTCCTTTAGACTTCCCCCGTTGATGGTGATTGGTGCTTGTTGTCGTTGTTCCTTGGGTATCTTTATCATCTCTGTCTTCTCTATGTTCAGTTGAAGTCCAGTCTTCGCTGCCTCTCCTCTTCTGTCAACTTGTTGGTTTTTGTCTGTAGATCTCCGAGTTTGTGCTACATTGAAGAGAAATCATCGGTGAAATCGAAATCGATGAAGTTGAGGTAGAGTTGAGTTGACTACCATTCTATTCTCTGTTTTATGATGATGCGTAGCGTAGCGTGACGTTGTAATTTGATCCTCACATGATTTGTTTTTCCTGAAGCCAGCCAACCAGCCAGCGAACCAGTGTATTCCGGTCTCAATTTTGAATCCAGTGCATTGTTTAGTCTCTCCAGGATGATGCGGCTCAATATGTTGCTTATGGTGGGTGGGGACAGGAGCATGATTCCTCGCCAGTTATTGCAAAGACTTATGTAGCCCTTGCTTGGAGTTTGACAAGTTAGCCCATCTTCCAATCAATCGACAGGTACCTTGCTTCTCTTCCTTCGAAACCTTCTGCTATAGTGGTGTGAGCATGTCCGCTGTTGTCTCAGTCTGTTATCAGTGTTTCTGGTAAAATTGTATCTGGTCCCTCTGCTTTCCCAGATTTCTGCAACTTTTGGCATGCGGGACCTCGACTTTTATCGTAGGGCTTTTGTTCACTGGTAATTCTGTGGTTGGGTTCCTGGTGATATTTCTCTTATCCATATCCTATTAGGCATGAGTAATCGCCAAATATTACCTAAAGCTGACGACTTAATCACCCCTCTCGTTTTTACTACCCATCAATACTCACGGCTGTTGTGAAGACTTTGTCAGTTTATGTTCAAGCTACTTTACCTCCTCTATGTGTTCGCGGCCGGCTGGAATGAGTTTTCTCTCACCCATCATTTCAAATGAGGTTGCGTAAATGCACCGGCTTCTGTTAACCTTTTGACTTAGGTTAACAACCACCTTTACTATTGTTTCTATAGCAAACTGAATATTACACCAGTTTTCAACCAGGTGAGAATTGATACCATGTTCAGGCAAATGCTTAGATGTTTCTTCTCTAAATGCTTGTTCACCGTTCTCATCTTCCAGTTGAGCACACTGAGTTTTAACTGCTGTTTATTTCTAAATTTTCTAAATCATCTACCTTTCCTACAGAAAGGTAGCCTTAGCACGGAGTGCTAATCATCCACCTGAAGCATCTTAATTTTGTCACACCCATTATAACCAGCACGAATACGAATTCGCCTGTGGAACTTCACAATGACTGAGCTATTTAAACTGTAATGGTAATTGCCTCTAGTAGCAAGTGTTCGCACTATTACAGTTCTCCAGTCGAAATGATATGTTAGTCCAACCATCACGTCAATATCGGGAATGGTTGGAGCGTATTTTGAAGATCTGCTTGGGGCTATTGGCTAGTAGATTCGCTAATCCCAGTATGACACTGTCACCTTACTGTATCGAAGTAAAGGAATGGTCGAATGCCTTAACTACTCTACTCACTCCTTCACTAATAAGGTCATCATCTTCAGATAACTCATAGTTCTTTAACTAGCTCTGATTATGGCATGTAGCGGTATGTTATTGAGGTATACTGAACAGTGCGGGAATGTGACATAATTTTCTTTGACCCTATGAGACTTTGTTTTTGATAAGTAATATGACTTTAATAGAATAATTTTTCTTTAGATTGTCCTCTGAAAATGTGCTCGCCTTCAGTTTGTTAACCAAGCTACAAAAAGATTGTTCCTACTGCATTCTCGTATATCTTTGTATTCATAACCCTTCTTTCCACTCAACTGTCATTACTGTGGTGAATCCCCTCCTAATACCTTGATAGACGGAAAAAAGTAGGAACCAATATAGAAAGTGGCACAGAAGTGCCCAGTTACATTCACCACACTTCATAACAAAATGCAAAGAAGAAGTAGATAGAAAAAGAAGTGATAGACAAAAGATTGATCGCGGAGAGACAATAAATAGATGCAGGTTGATGGAAAAGTTCAACAGTTGGAGGACGATGAGGAGTGCATACATCTGCAACACTCCAAGTGATTTTGATATCACACGTAGTCTCTAATTATCGATTCGTATCATCTGGATAACCCCAGGCAGGTAGGCTGCACCTCCATCCATGACTCATATCAACAGTAAGAGACTTCATGAGTTGGTATCACGTCTCACTTTGACCACATTTTATGCTCACTTCTAACTGAATTCTTTTTCTCAGAAGAAAATTTTCACTGAGTTAACAATTTATCACTAACGTAAGAAGGCTAAAACTTGCGAGTGTATTCTTTTGAGTTCGATGCAGAAAAGTGCGTAGTTCAATTTTACTGGTAGTTTTAGAATTGATAATGCAGACAAGGCTGAACGTTTTCTGATTTGATTCAGTTTATTGGAAGCATCCATCGTCATATTAGAAGTTTGGATTTTCTCATTGAATTGTCAGCAAGTTTTTTTTCCCCTCACTTTCATGCTTATTTTACCTAGATTGTTGTTATTTTACTTTGAAAATTATGACTGTTTAACTCTGTTGAATTTCTATTTGCGCTTCATACTGCTGTAAATAAACTCTAAGTGGTATTTGAAGTCTTCGAGTGTAAGGGTACTCAGATTCAACTGGAATTTTGGAAAACGTTTACAACCTAAATATACGATTGGATGACTATATCCTCCCTTTAACCGAAATCGTCTGGTTCACAAGTTCAAATTGTTATTTCATGCAGTATCCTCACTGAAAAAGCACATACAAAATATTTGAGGTTTTCATCATATCTTCGTAAATAACGTAGTACAATACTGATAATCACTGTTTCCGTGATTACTTTTCTAAACAGCTGTGGTAATTGATTTATTTTGTACACTATTGATCATTTTCACACAGAGGAAGTAAAAACGCACTAGTTACTGAAAAGTGAGACAACAGTCAAAAACAAGTAGAAACAAGCCAAACAGCTGCTTATACGATAAATTATTCTGAAGTCATTATCATTAGGGGCTATATATCATTTGTTTATGGATAACAACTGTTCACTTCTTTGTCGAAGTGGCACTGAAGTTTGTTGTCTAGACGTTTTCTACTTGAACCATTGACTTCTGGGATGATGCATATTCTGTCATAACGCCATTATATGTATATGTATTAATTTTAACACTAGTAACTATTACGGTGTGTTAGGTAACTTGTAATTCAATCGATTTCCACGGAAATACTTTGAAAACAATATTTAAGATTTGCACTAAATACTTAGACTAATTTTTGACAAACCCACTTCGTATGCTTAGCTTGATGTCCATCTGTAGGTATCTCAAACAGATATAAACTAGCCTCCTTTTTCATTCAGTATCAACAAGATATTCAGTTTTCCATCATCGATAGTCTGATATTTAAACTTTCCATTTTGTGTATTAACTGGTTTTTATTTATTTTCACTTAGATTTTCATTTGATTTACAGCAATATGAATTACTGTTCATAAACTTCTGTACACAATACAAGTTGGTCAAATTACTGCATGCATTCATTTATGCTAACAGAAACTGTAAACAGCATCAGTTAATTCCTTGGAGTTTTAATCTTGAACAGGTGTATGTGTGTGGCAACTACGTTCCTAGCTGAAACTTGAAAATTATGCATAAACTAAGCTGAGTAACTTTGCGCTAAGGTTTCTGATTTCTATACAGATTGTTGTACGTTCGAATCTTTGAGAGGACATAAGTTTCATCAAGATTTCAGGTCAGTCTTTCCGATCAGTGCCAGCAAGCATAATATAGAAACTCAGTATTGCCTACCTATTAACTGCTGAAATACATATTGTCTCATCCTCTGTCTTAGAAAACAATCTGGGAACTTGATAGATAGACGTAAATGTGCATTTAACACATAAAGCTCGACAGCTACACGAGTTATCCTCTAGTAAACAATCCGTGTAAACTGGTATGATATTATGAGGCTTTATATTCACTTTTTTTCATCTTATGATAATAGTTATCAATTGATAACTTTAATGAAAAGTAATTAGTTATGGTAATTTGAATTTTACAGGTGGTTAGAAAACGAATGCTTTTGTTTTTTCCTAAAGAAGATAGTTGTCTGAATGTGAGCTTGAAGAGCTTTTTATGTTGAGAAATTTCTTTTATTTAATAATGTATATTTCATAAAACAACATATATGTGGAGATTATGGACACACTCTGATTCCGTTTTCTGCAGTAGTTCAATGTAATATCTCTTTATCAATTAGTATAGTAAGTGATGACAGTTGTGTTATTCTTTTGTTTATATATTACTTTTTTTGTCATAAAGAGCTATCGGTTTTCAATTTTTTTTGAGAATGATAATTTCAAGAGTTTCTGTGTATCATTATCATCACCTATCTTCTAGATAATAATAATTCTGAAGACCCTCAACACCGGGAGCCATCTCAATTTAATCGGTAAGCAATGAAAATTGTATTAAATTTGTATTAAGAATATAACATAATGGAGAATATTTGTAGTTCAGGTGGACCAGGACCGTTTCCATGCATGTTTTTACGCATATAAACAATCCAATGTTAAGAACGCTTATTGAACGATATGAAGGTTATTATATTATGCTGAAGTGAATTCAGTAATATATCAGGGGTCATGTTTGGTGAAGTGAACTGCTGACAGATGAAAGTGATTAAATTTCTTCTTTAGTGAAACTGAGTTAACTTTTATCTCACCATTATCGTCATCTCCTATGTTCTCAGATATAAATGTCATGTAAGTATAGGTGAATTATAAGCAAGTTGCCACTACTCGTGATAATTCTAAGTAACAATTAAAGCGGTATGGATATCTGTATTCCGAATGATTGACCGGTGAGTAATAACGAAATGCAACAGGAGGTGTCATTCATCACAGCAAATAACATATCACATTGGTTGCTAGATTCAATAGCTCATAATTTTATTGCTTTTTGAAAGTAAATAGGCTCTAGTGAACTGCTTTTGACTAACTAAAGCGTTTAAGATGACGAAGTGAATAAACCTTTATTTCGTCTGATGAAAAAGACGGATTTTGGTTTCCGAATGTAACCTTGAATAACAGTCTTGTTTATATATATATATATATATATATATATATATATATATATATATATATATATATATATATATATATATTTACTTCTGTATAATGAGAAAATAATTCATCATATTGGTGTAGCCTTCTGCAAAGGCTGAATTGTAACATGATACATTTTAGATGTATACTTATATACTTTCGCTTCTTTCAGAGCCACTCCGGTTCGACGCAAATCAATCAGTACTACAAGATCTAGTTGTTGTAAGTCAAATTGTACTTTTCTATTTGTTTGTCCTGATGCTAATGGTATTTTTTGTAAAAATAACTCATTATATTACTAGTTATGTAGTTAGTAGTTCCGTTGGTAGATGCATCATATTTCGACTTGTGTTCTTTAGTTTCACATTGAAGAACTGTTGCATTCCTCATTTTTATTTCAGTAACAAACACCACACTGACAATTAACACAAATTCTTCACCGTTTAACGAATATCCTCCAGCACCAGTTAATAATGACAGAGAAACTACATCAGGTCCAACTGTTTCTTATAAAAATGCTATCAGCTCATCAATAGCGAATCGTGTTAATTTATACAATAATGAGTTAAATAAGAATAATACTGCTTTATCGGAACTGGAATCAAAAGCTGTGACAAAAGAACAAAATGTCCCAAGTGTATATCCGAAACCTAGAACCATGTTTCGATATCCTCCTAACGCTACTGATATACTAAAGTATGTTTAGAATACTTTGATCGGTTTCATCATTTTATTTTATCTTTTGTGTTGATTATGATATCTATTTTCAGTTTACTTTGTTACTACTTTAGATTTTGTTTAAATATCCTCTATAACACTTTTTCTCTCATCGAAATACGTTGTTGATAGAAGGAGAACTGACTGTTACTGAATTTCTCACTCATATGAACCTTGTGTATGATTCATCTGTTTACAGTGTGATGTTATGGTTTTTTCTGCACACTTGTATAATCGTCAGTAACTTCAGTCTCCTTACAATCCTTTCACATCAATAATGTAGTTCAGTTCTAACAGTGAGTCGCTAGAACTCGTACAAGTTAAAACCGACAGCTTTCAGTGATCGAATTCATTTTACGTTCACCAATACTCCTCTTACTTTATTAGTTGATTCGCACAAAATATTGATCCACTTGATCTGTGTTGCACATATCGAATAGCCATCTATTTTAACCCACCATGTTGGCGTGATTAGGGTTAATTTGCGATGAAGCATATATTTATGAAGTTTTTGACTGTTGATGTGAACTACGTAGAGAAATATCAACTGTTTCAAGATAATATTAATAAGATGTTGGACATTTTTGTAAAATGATTGAAAATGGCGAAGACCATCTTAAAAGTTTCAAATATTTCACTCATTATTCCTCTTTCGTTCATGCTTTTGTCACATCCTTCTTCTTATTTGTAATACTTCTCTATTTCTGTCATTTTTCGTTTTCTATAGTGGAATTAATTTTTGTAACGTAAACCACAGCACTTTTTCTTCGTCTTGCTTATCTTTATCTTTGGTGATACCTTGCCCAATTCATGAAGTGGATGCTATTGTTGAGGATTTGCCGGATCTTGTATTGGTTAGTTTAATCATTCAATATTTCGCACCGGTTAACCCTTCCCTCTTACTTGTAACCCGAGTCTTCTCACATTCGTTTCTATTTGAGGACTGGTCTGCTGCTAGTGCTCACAGTTTAATATTAGGAAGTGGAGTGAATGAATGTGTCCATCACTTCCCTCACTTAAAGAGTTTGCATCAACCCGAACGAACTGGTTGCTGACGAAATCTCGGATTTCGTACATAAGATCCATTTGATATTTGCCAATGTGCGTCATCTGCGACACCGACAGGCGAAGTATCCGACTGTCTGTCAAAGAACGAGTATAATGCGTCGCAGTCCGTTCTGTCCTGTTGTACGGCTGTGAAACATTGCGGTTAAACGTGTGAAATACGAAGCAATTACAGGGTTTTGATCACCTGTCTTCGTAGCACTGGTCGCGTTTAATGGAATCACCTTGTGAGCAATGTTGAGGTCAGGAGAAGAGTGGTAGAGAAGATAGGGAAGTCGACTGATGAAGTTGTGAACCTTAGTCGGTTGAGATGGCTTGGATATGTACTGTGTATGCCGAACCGACGCCTACCTGGACGTGGCATGTTGGGAGGGGGGGAGTTGGATTAGGTTGCAAGAGGGTTCAGTGTGGTCAGACTGAAATGTGGCACCGGTCGACGAAGTTTTATACTGTCACGTGGGGTGATGTAGACTGCTCAGTTGTGGTTCCGGAGACGAAAGGAACCAGTGGTTGGGGACTCTTGGTGAGATGGTGCAGATGTATTCACTTCTTGACATCTTCCAAAGCTTGAATATCCACACTAATCGTTATCCTGAGATTATTTATTCTCTCATACAACTTGTCTACTTCCATATCACTCTTTTTTTATCCACCTGTTATTTGTGTACTACTGTGAAGTGTAGCAGCTTGAGCCTTTGCACTAATGTGAGGTTTTACATTGATTTTTCCGTCTGTTTATCCATTTATCCGCCTGCAGTTAACATACATTCATGCCAAAATCTGTATCTGATGTATCTAGTATACTTTCGTGAGTTTTTAGAAATCAGTCATCAGCCTAAAACCTGAGTTCCAGGCTTAATATAGACACGTACAATTTAAGATCTGACACAATTTCGTTTCGGTCCGAGTTACCACACTTCATTCATCACAACGAAAAAGCAAACAACAGGTAAAGCAAAAAAAGAAAATAATGGTTTCCATAGTGGTTGAAAACGACAACAAGAAGCCGAGTTGAGGTACCACATTATGAGTAATAATCTATGCTCGAAACGTCATCAAGTAAATAATACTAGATCACTGTGTGTTGTAAATCTAATAAACAAATCTAATATAGAACTGAGGTACCACACTCAATATTTATTCGAAGAAAATTTATGCATCCACATCTACCGTTTCGCTTAATTTCATCAGGAGTCTGAAATCTTCAGTTTCATCTATAAAACTATTCGTAACTATTCGCAACCTAAAATAATAATTTCCAACTTCATGGATTAGTACCATAATCTTGATCTGGTCTTTCTCAGCCTTCTTTCAGCCTGATCCTTATTTGGATAACATTTCATATTGGATCATAAGTAACATGAAATACATTTTCAATGTCCCAGCTTTTTAGCACATAAATGTTTGCAACCTTGTTGACTGATTTACGATCTTTACACAATTTGTACATCTGAATTCAACTTATGAATTGTTTGTCTGTAAAGAAATGTCGATTTTCTGGTTATATTTCTCAGGACAACAAAAGTCAGTGGTTGCACACTTGAGGCGATATGACTGACAATCATCTTTGGCAGCAGCGCAGATGTATATCCACATGTAACGTTCGTCTAGATCATAACATCAGGTATCATCGCTTTGCGACTTCGAATGTGTTCTTGTCATTTTCATTTGTCTTTCTTGACTCCTATTGACTACAACCTTAGTGTGATGATGTAAGATGTTCACTATGGACTTGCAGTATTTTCTACTTACTTTAGGGATGCTTAGGCATCAGTGATCAAACACTTATAGCCTTAAAATATCGTTAACTTTTAATCGCCATGTTTCACATTCATATAATAGAACACAGAACACGCTGCTGTTTGATACATTCTAACCCATACATGCTTTCGGATACCTAAACGATATCCCAATTTTTACAATCTGACAAAACCCTAAGCCATCCTTTCTGTTCGTATCGAGATTTTCCATCAGTGCAAATACTTGGCCTCTTCAATCCTGATTATGAAAAGACCAATATTTCAGTAACTACTTGTATTTCGAAAGGGAAAAATGCATCTTCAACAATCATATCGTTCAGAGTATTCAGAAGACTCCGTTTCATCAGTATTTTCACTTAATAAGGTCAAAGGTAAATATCCGTGTATAAACTGGTTTATTAATATATTTGCAGGATTTTCGCCATGAAATGTATAAAATAACCGTATGATATTGCGGTATGTTCTCATTTTTATATTTCAGGTTACCTTCGTATTTCTCTTCATTTTTATGGATCATTTCACTTTGATTTTTACCCTTTTCAGTGAATCTAATCCTTTTCGAATGGTAAATGATATATCATTGACTGATTCTGCGAATACGCCACCAGCTGTCCCACCCCATGGTTCTCGTTTACCAGCTCAATTTAATTCCGCAACAACTAATCGAACAAATCTATACAATAATAATGGTTCACCACCTTATAATACAAGTCAAACAAATCAATTATTAGGCACAATGACAAATACTAATATTGTCAATAAAATACTTCACCAGTGAACTCTTTTGGAGCTACAATAAGACGTCCTACAGCACCTGTTCCACAAAATTCAATTACGCCTATTTCATCTGCTTCTATTAGTCCAGTGACACGTACATCTTACGCTTATCATTCATTAAGGTAATTATTCACACTGGTTCAAGATATAAGTATATATTTTTTTCTGAAGATGACTTAAATCAAAAACCGAGTTTTAGTACAGCAGCAAACGAATACTAGTGGACATTATTTTTCAAAGCACTTTCTTTGAGAATCTATTTATTACTCTATTATGAAGCGAATCAGACCACTGGTATCTATGCTAATATTTGACATTCTTGAAGCAATTACTCAAATCACTTGTTGTTTACCTGTTTTCATTGGTGTTTCTGTATTGATTGGTTACCTTTGTAATAGCAATGGTATTATCTTTAAATCAGACAGGTGGTGTCATCATCTATTTTACTCTATATAAGGATTAGTATGCAATTATTCGAATATGTGAAATCATGTTATTAAAATTCGTAGTCCTAAATAAGAAAAGACAATAAATGACCATGATGCTTGACGAAAAATTCCATTCACACTAATCAACTCAATTTCACAATCTCATCGACTAGTTTACTTGCCTTACTCAAAGTCTGTGGCCATGTTTGATTAACGACCTAGTAAGAAAGTGTAACGTTTTCAGTTTTTCTCTTCTCCATTATGTTAACTTTGGATAGGAAAAGAGTATACTACAGTTTACTTATAACCAATCGTTAGTCAAGCAATCAGATACATATTTGTGAGTTGATAAATTCTCATAGGTAATCCACGACGCCTAGCTGATCCACAACACTTATTTGTAGTGAATAACAGTCTGATGCCACCAATAAAGGTTTAAATACTTGGATACAAAATATATACAAGCATTTTGGGTTACAGTTTCAGACGAAACATGATCGCCTATCTTGTAACCACTCAGAATAGCCATAGTAAGTATTTTTTTAATTCAACTGAAGAAGTAAATATTCAACTTTTAAAGTGGATCCAAACTACTTATTTGAAGAAAATATACAGTTACATAGTGTAGTTCGAAGACGAAGTTTAGCTGAACAATATGATGTATTTGTACAGTATCTTTCTAACAATCTGATCGTACATTAACTTGTTAATTCAATCTATATAAAACCGAAGAATAGGAAGACGCATAGAACAATAATGATAGTAGGGGATTAAAATTGGGAAATATAAAAAAGGAAGAATGACATATTTGATCCTAATCTTGGTGATGAAAGAAAGTTTAGCAAAGTAGGTGTAGTGTAAGAACAAAACATTTTTGTACTACCAATGACGGTTTCAATTTGTTTATGGCTATTGCTTCCAAAAATCTGAGCATATGTCCCTGACTGTTTATGCAATGTGTCTAACTATAGATAGAGAGATTTGTTTTCTCACCTGGACTTATCAAAGTTTGACACTTCAACTGTTTTCAAACCATTTAGGTCTGCGTTCTCTCATTCTCAACTGCACAACTTGTTTACTCCTTCCTATTTATGTGTCCATATACATCCAAATTAGTAAACTTGAAGGGATGTGATTCCCTTTTAGTCGCACAGTGGAGTAGTATTACTTAATGGATTACTTTTCGGACACAATTTATTGTCCAACCTTGAGACATGCTCAAATATGTGAAATTATCTTGACATGACTATGGACAACAAATTGTGTCCGAAACGTAACCCAGTAAATAATACCGTTCCTTCACTGTGTGATACACATCCTACCACAGTGCCCAAGCTATACTCTTATAGCAATATATATATATATATATATATATATATATATATATATATATATATATATATATATATATATATATGGATGTTTACTTCGTTATCACTCTTTGTACGTTCGTTTTTTATTTTAGATTGCCTTCTAATACAACTTCTAATAGTTGCACCAATGATATTCTCTCACATCAACTTGGTCGGGCGAATAATGAGTTAGTTCGTCCATCAGTAACTTCTCTTTGGTCTAATGGCCTTGGTGAAGGAGGTGCAAATCAATCCCTTTCAAGTCCTCCTTATGCAGCTGACTTAAGAGAGGATAATTCAACTCTTCCGTTTAATCGTAACCTACCAGAACGTTCAACTATTCAACATGTACCAACTGGAAGAGCTAGAGAACGTCTAGAAGGAACGTCAGGTGGTCCACGACTTGTCCGTCATCCTGGAACACAAAGTATTGCCCATCCGGCTACAGAATCTCATTCACCACCAACTGGTAACTCAAATCTTTCTACACCAAGACCTAATAGTCCTGATTTGTCGATATCGTCTGGGACTTCATCTGTTTCTACATTAAGCCATCATGGTGATAGAACAGATTATGATGAAGAATCCCCAACACCAGAAAATGAACGACATCCGGATATTAATCACAGAAGTCATACCATTGGATCTTCGGTTCAACCTTTCGCTCGTAACTTCTCTATTCGTCCTTCAGGCAATCGATTAGAAAATGATGCAATCCACAATAATTCAACTAATAATGGAGGTATCAACAGTTTTTTTCGAACTCTAACAACCCGAATATCTAGTAGGTAAGTGGCATACGTTGTTTTACAGTAACATCGAGAAAGGTTTCATTATTTTGGTCGAACTGTATGCATTTCATTGTGTTAGCTTATAAGAGGGAATTGATCAGTTTTCAAACCAATTCTGTCGATCAACACCGGTTATAGTGCCATTAAGCACTGAGCTTCTGTTCCATCCTGGTTCAGGGCTCCTTAGTAGTACGGAATCATAAAGAGATGTACGGATTGGTCTCAAGTCCAGTAATGAACATATGAGCACCCAACCACTGGATTGAAATGTGATAGTTCACATATGTGTATTCCTGTCAATTCTCGCTGTTGCACTGCCATCACCCAGTATCATCTATCCTCACATGTGACTTAGTTGACTCCCTCCTTCGTCAAGACTTCGGACTTGAGATTCAAAAAAATCGGTGTTGAGGCAAATTACCAGTGAAAACTGGTGGATTGTTATTCATTCTGAACGTTTGTGGGACATTATCTGATTTCAAGGCAGTTTTATCTCAAATTGATATCAGTTAGAGGAAGTTATACTGGACCAATCAGTGGATGTCATTGAGGTTAGGTATAGATCACCAGTAGACAGGTTGAAGTGCAATCTATCCGCATTAAACGTAGTAGCTCATGTTAGTTGGTTGGAGGCAAACGGCAGGAAACCTTAGACCTAGGTTTCGTGCTTGTTGGAGCTCATCAGCAAAGCCTCTAGGAAGCTACCGATCTCCTCTAGTCAACTAGCATCTTTCAAAGTGCACCACGATGCTGAGCCTCCTAGTTTGGTGGCCTTATTGCAAAAATGATCGATAGAATTAAGTCTGCACCCAGGACTAGACAACATGAGATTGATTGCTCTCCGGTAACCAGTCAGTGTAATGGCTCATTTCATAAATATATTTAATTCAATACTATTTGTTTATTGCCACATGTATTCTTTTTTTGCACTCTGAATAATGTGTTAAATAGTCTTGTACATGAAGTGGCATTTTACTTCTTTGGCTGAAAATTTTGCTACATCTCTGAAATACAGCTCATGTATAAACAAAATACGCACTCTTGTCAGCCGCACTCGCCACCCATCTCGAATTCATATATAAGACTAGGAATGATTCTTGTTTTCGTCTAGCAAAAAGATTGTTTGAATATCAATCATCGGAAGCACATTGACTTATGTAAACTATACTATACCTCCAAGACTCTTCCGTTAAACTTCGTTCCCATTGCAGTGTTTTGTACCTAAAACAAAACCTTCTCTATAGATTAATTTAGTGCATGCTGGAAAATACGTGCACCGTAGAAATGAAAAGTAAATGTAATGATAGCCATTCACTCAACATCAACATGGTACTGCATAACGACTCAAGCTGTCACACTTTAAATCAGAGCACTAAAGTAGTACTAATAGCTCCTACCTTGACGTGGTGGTCGGGCTTGCATATCACAATGACCCAACGAGCTATGCTGGTGGAACACTTGTTCCCTCGAGGTCCTACCATACCAGAAAGGTCTGTCGGATAGTGGTTAGACGAAAAGCAGTCACCGTTGTGGTGTAACTTACTACATTATGATGGGGGTCTGAAGGCGAAGTTGTACTGCTGTTAGCTGGCTGGGGTGTGACAGCAGTAAGGTGTTTTCCTTGGGTGACCAGCAGTGCCATGTTCATGTTGCCTTCTCAATGGAAAATGTTGGCGGAGGAGGGGGGCGGTTAGAAAAGGTCGGCCATAAAATAACACTCCACTATACCTCACTCCCTGCCGGGTCTACTGTGTTGGTTCATTTGTCGTTTCTTTTCGACCATCCTGGACCGAAAACAAGCATACACAAAAGACTGTGTATGACAGCCCTCAAGCAGATGTCCGGTGGGCTCTGTGGTCACACAAATCTCTTTCATGTACCTTAAGAAGAAATAGCCTCCCACGATATGGGCAACCGGGAAGTGTCGACCGCCATCACAACTCTGTCAGCACTCAAGTTTCTTCAGACTGGTACGCACCTCCCGCATCATTACCTAATCTTCCATCACGTCTATAGGTGTAAAACTTGGGCAATGTGGCAAAATTTAATTCCATATTAGATTTGTTTATTTGATTTATAAAACACAGTGATACAGCATTATTTGCTTGATGACGTTTGGAGCAGAAATTATTGCTCGTAATCTTATCATTGATACGATTATAAGCAATAATTTATGCTCGAAACGTCAAGTAAATAATACTATATCACTTTGTGTCATAAATCAAATAAACAAATCCAATATGGAGCTCCTTCACGTTTCTCAACTAACGATACTATATCATCTTTAATTTCTCCTAGTTCCGCAGCCTTCGACAACGATCTGAATCCACAGAACAGTATCCCTAGTCTCCTTAAACTTCGCTCCAAATTACATATCGGGGTCTTCAATGTCCGCACCCTCCGCCAAATCGGTCAACGGGCTTTGTTGGCAGACTCTGGCAACTCGGGCCATGGATGTGTGCTGTGTTTGTGAGACACACATACAGGACTCAAGTGTGGTTATTCACCTGACTTCTCACGGCCAATCTGGTGAATGCGTGAAATTCACCCTTCGAGTTTCTGGAGATTCGATAGCTAGCTCTCGCGGTCTTGCAGGTGTAGGTATAGCATTAAGCACCAGGGCAGAAAACTCACTACTAGACTGGATCCCAGTTGATAGTCGCCTCTGCGCTATGAGGCTGAACGGCGTAGTGAGAACTAAAAGGAATAGGGAGACTCGCCGTTGTCTCTTTGTAATCTCTGCTTACGCACCCACTGACTGTAGTTCGGATGAAGTGAAGGATGAGTTCTACCATAAACTGTCTAACCTCCTCTCGAAATCCAAACGTTCGGACGTAGTGGTTGTTGCAGGTGACTTCAACGCACAGGTGGGTAGACTGAGTGAGGCAGAAAGGCACTTAGGTGACACTTTCGGAGTCCCGGCTGAACGAACAGATAACGGTGATCGGCCACTACAAGTGTGCTCAGATAACCGCTTATTTTTAGTAAGCACAAATTTCAGACATAAGAAAAGACACTGCCTGACGTGGCGTCCACCGAGCTCAACTCAGCGATGGATACAGATAGACCACATCGCTATTAGTCATCGTTGGAGAGGATCGGTGGAAGACTGTCGCTCCTTCTGGAGTACGTGTTTGGATAGCGACCACACGTTGGTCCCAGCACGTATATGCCTGCGTCTCATTGGACGTAGGAAACATTTGGCAACAAAACCACTACGAGTGCTGCTGGACTACAATAACACCAAAGCTGTGTTCAGTGAAAAACTGGTTAGGCAGTTATCGGAACAGAAGACTATCACTCATCCAGAAGGAGCTTGGTGCCATCTTCAGTCTGCTGTAAAAGCAGAGCTGAAGACTGTAGCCAACTCCGAAAGAGTGGCTAAACAGATCTAGTGGATATCAGCAGCTTCCTCCGAACTAATGGATGCACGTGAACTGATCCCTGCAGGCCCCGAGTACAATAAAGAGCGGGCACAGCTTGAAAGTAGACTGAGAAAAAGTCTACACAACGACCGCGAACTGTGGTGGGCAGCGAAGGCTAAAGAGATGGAAAAGGCAGTGGCGATTGGTAACAATAGACAGTCATTTAGACTTATTAAGGAGACTGGGGGAAAAAGTCAACAACAGTTAGTGAGACCATAGCGGAGAAGGACGGGTCTGCGATTTACTCGTAGGAGAGACGACTCGAACTATGGGTAGAAAACTTCGAGGAACAGCTTAACTGGCCTCTCTGACTGGTCTGAATCACTGATTATCCCAGTCTTCAAGAAAGGCGAGAAGTCCTCTTGTGATAACCACAGAGGAATCAGCCTGACGAACATAGTGTCTAAGATTCTAGGTCCCTTAATTCTCCGACCCTGAGTGGAGCTTGGGAACAGCAAGTCCGAGAAAACCAAGCAGGCTCTAGACCCGGCCATGGGTGTATTGACCAAATATTTACATTGCGCCAGGTTCTGGAACATAGGCATGCTTACCGACGCCAGACGATAGCTGTTTTTCTCGACCTGATGGCGGCGGCATTCGACTCTGTTGATCGAGAAGTCTTATGGCAATGTCTCTCATTGAAGGGCGTGCCGAGTAAGTACATCACCTTATTAAAGGCTCTATACTCGAACACTTGTGGGCGTGTTAGAGCCTATGGCGAGTTATCCAGGGAGCTATGCTCATCGAGTGGTGTCTGTCAAGGGTGCCCACTCTCTCCATTCTTATTCAGTTTCATCATAGACGTACTTATAGAGGTTCCCCTCTCTTCATTTGACTACACAGGGATTGACCTAGTCACAGGCGAATATTTAGTAGATCTAGAATACTCTGATGAGACAGTTCTGTTGGGTGAAGACGCTGACAAGATGCAGAGTCTTCTGGACACCTTGAGTAGCAATTTGAGAATGTTTGGGATGCGGTTCTCACCACCCAAATGCTAATTGTTGCTCCAGGATTGGTCTTCAACGGTGTCCCACCGCAGCTAACAGTAGAGAGTGAAGTGGTTGAGTGTGTTGGCCACTTCACTTACCTGGGAAGTAGGATAAGCCCAGCCCTGGTGGTTCATTGGCTGGTGAAATCTCTGCACGGATACAAAAGGCTCGATTGGCTCTCGCCAACTTATACCACCTGTGGCGCGGCCGCGATATCCAATTGTCTATTCAGGGTCGCGTGTACTGCACAGTAGTCCGTTCTGTTCTACTCTATGGCTGTGAAACATGGCCATTGAAGGTGGAAGACATGAGGAGAAGGCTTCACGTGTTTGACCACCATTGCCTTTGTAGTATAGGCCGTATTCCATAGTGTCACCAGGTGAGTAACGCAGACGTCAGGTGTAGAGATAAATATGTTGATGAGGTTATGAACCTTCATCTACTGAGATGGTTGGGACACGTACTACGTATGCCCAGTCGCCAATCACCTTGTCACACAATGTTGACTGAAGTAGGTTAGGGCTGGAGAAAGGCCCGAGGTGGCCAAACTAAAACATGGCAACAATGTATGAAGTCTTTGACTGTTGGTTTGAGCCATGTAGAGCGATGCAGACTAGGTGGTTGGGGTCCACGGGACAAGAGGAACCAGTGGTTGGAGACTCTAGGTGATATGGCTCAGAACCTATATCGGTGACGTAGATGTATCCACACATTATCCTCATCTTAACGACGCTATACCGAATCTCACCATTTTCTCATTTTTCCTTTCTCTTTTTTCGTACTTTATGTCTCTTTTGACTGGATGTTCTTTTCTTCATCTTCCACCACTGCCTTTTTATTTGACGTACTGATATGAGGTGTGATAACTCGGACGGTTACGCAGTAATGCATGGTCCTATGTTGATATTGATGATGATGATAAAAAAGGCAGAGGAAGAGAAAGTAAGTAGTCAGGAAACAAGAAGGAATGAAACAATGATGATATCCAGTTTGACGAGTAAATTGAAGATAATGGGTGGGTGCATCTGCATCACTGAGATCGATTCTCAGCCCTATCGTTTACATTCTCCAACAATCGGTTTCGATTGTCACTTGGATCCCGGCTGACCATTCGGTGTCTACATCACTCTGATTTGGTTGGGGAAATCTATAGACCATTCTGGCTGGTTTCAAGTACTCAAGTTTTTCAGTAGTATAATTATACATTTCCTACATAGCTCAGACCAACAAGTAAAGACATCACAGTCTGATGTCATGTTTCAGCGCACCCGCCTCTAACCTATCTTCATTCCAAACATACTTCAAATAACACTGTGCAATGGAATAGAAGGTGATTATGTATGTATTTCTTGCCATTATCCTCAATAAGCATAACTGATTGCTTAGCGTTACCTAGTACTGATGCCTCTTTCATCTCTTTCGCTATCCACCATTCTCAATCATTGCCAAGGCTCT